TTTATGTATCCTTCTAATTCAAGATCCTGTCATATGGTGTGAATGCCACAATAATTTACAAGTACAACTGAGCATACTTTAAAAAATGACATCCACCAATCACTATAGCTTCTCCTGAGCTGCGACCAAAAAGCCTCCACCCTCTAAATATATGGCATAAATTTAACCAGTCATAGCAGTATTATAATAAACCTGATTAGTTGTTGATTTCCCATATCTATGGCTGTTTTTGCCTGACAAACTATCTGTATGAAAATGCCTCAGTATTGGTTGAATGACAGCCAAGTTACTATTCTCACTGCCTTTATCTGTTCTTAGTAATTGAGGACAACCTATATGTATTCACATTAAACTATGCATGCATATATGTGATCATACCTTCATTTTCTTTCACACATTGTATGTAATAATGAGCAATAAATTTTGGATTGTTATTTGATGAGGATGCATCTAACCACATTATTCTTCTGGAGAAACTTTTTAATTTGGAATAATTACAATGTAATTTGTATCATGCTAATATGTAATAACCTACCCATCAATGCATGCATGAATAGCAATGCCAAATTTTTTTAATTTATCATAACCGTCACAATGCCAGCAGAAATTAGGTCCCTTAAATTAAATAAAAATAATAATTGAAATTCTGTTTTTACTTTGCTATGATATATTCGTCGTTGCAACCTTCGCTTCTGTCTTGCATCAGAGCCATTTTCATCCAATACTCTAATCAACATCATTACAGTTCTTCTATATTGGACAAAAAATAGTGAAATATAATTATAAATATTAATGAAACTTAAATTTAGCACTATAATTACCTCCGAACAACTAAGCCATACGTTAATTGTAACCTCTTTTGCATTGCTCGATATCCAAGTAACTTTCCATGTGCTTTAAGTTCTTCCTATAATTTATAAGGCCATGTAATGATTTCATGCTCTAGCTACCTTGATTGCCTGAATAATAAGTTCAAGTGAGCTTTCTTCTTTCATTGTACTGAGACCTTTTTGCTTCTTCACTCTTTGTATCTGTCTCACACTATATACACATAGTTTAGTTTAATACATTAATTCAGTCATGTACACAACTAAATATTATATACCTGATTTTTCGCCCATATTTAAGTTCAAATAGGCTTTGTACTTCTTTACTTGTAGCTCCTATACTTGTATATTGCTTGATCAAATCATTTCTGACACTTAGATAAGAATTTTGCATTCTGATTTTTAAGGAGGGCACATGCAAACACAAGAAAACAGAAAAGAGAACGGGAAATACTGAAACTCGTGAAAACGGATCTACTTACCAACAGGAACGATACTTGTGAACAGGAAACGACACTTGTGAACAGGAAATGTCGCTTTGGGCCACCGTACATCAATGCGCATTACTTGTGCCAGTGTGAAAAGGCCTTTAGCCAGCCATTATACCTGGTTAGCTATAATAATATTTCAGTTTTCTCTTTTCTGCTCTGTGTAGAGAGCGGTTACACAGCTTACACTCAAAACGGACCACATGATGGCTGACAGGCGTGCCTCCAATGGCTCTGATCTGCCTCGCAAGACGGTTCCTACCAAACAGAAGGATAAAGATAAGTCTACTAAAAAGGCAGCTAAGTCTCTCAATGCTTCTCCTCTGGTCCATTGCGTCTGTTCCTCTCAGGAAGACATTGGTAACATGGTAGAATGTGAATCATGTAATAAATGGTCACACTGCAAATGTGTCAGCTTGCCTCCATCACTAGCAGCCTCATACCCGTTTGTGTGTCCATTTTGTATCAAGTCCCTCTTCTCTCGTCTGTCAACTCTCGAGTCAGAGGTGACTTCCCTGTCTAATCGTATTTCATCTCTAGAGTCGTCCACAAAAGACGACCTTCAATCCATGTCTAATGATGTACAGAGGGTTCGTGACTCTCTTAATCAGATTAGTCAGACTCCTGTGTCTATTCCAGCTCTGCCCCCTGTAAATGGTGATGATGCCTCTGGCAATCAGATGCAACTCTCAGTGAACAACAATGATAGTGTCTCTGTAACAAGGACAACACCACACAGGAATCAGGGCTCACATATTCTATCTAGAGATCGTACATGTAATCTAGTTGTCTCTGGCCTACCTGAATGTCCTCGAGGCACTAATAGAACTAATAGAGCAATACAAGATCAAAACAGTATCTTAACAGTCCTGTCACCACTATGCTCTACCCTCTCAACTCATTCCATTAGAGATATTTTCCGTTTGGGTAAATATGTGGAAGGTCAATCCCGGCCTATCCTTGTTAAGCTACAAAGACCCCTGGATGTGTCCATTATTCTGTCTAATAAACGTCTACTGGCAGAGACCCCTAATGTCTCTGTTCGCCCTGACCTTTCCCCCCATGATAAAGCGATCTATTCAACTCTAATGAGGGAACGTCGTGCTCTCATCTTGTCTGGTCATGAATCCCGTGCCATTAAAATTAAGAAGAACTGTCTCTTTCTTGATGGTTGTCTATATGGAAAAGTTATTGATAGTTCATTTGTTCTTGAGTCCTCCGACACTCCTTCCACGGAGATTCCTCCCAGTGACATCCCTGGTGTTGTCCCATCTCTTCCCCAATCCCTCCCTGTTCAATCACCTGGTCATTCATCTGCCTCTGGTTCTTTCCAGTAGGTTCATCCACCCTCATTGGTCTCTGGAATGCACGTAGTCTGGTATGCAAATTACCCTTCTTTCAATCTCTAGTCTACTCAAGGTCTTTTGGCATTTTTTGTGTAACAGAAACATGGCTGTCTAAACATGTGATGGACAAAGAGATATTACCTTATGGCTATACTATATTTCGGCATGACAGAGACTCCCGTGGGGGTGGTGTAATGATTGCTGTGGCTGACAGTATTCAATCAAATCTGATTCAGTTAGACTACGACATAGAAATGATCACTGTATCTTTGTTTAATGCTCATGTGTCACTGTCCTGTCTGTACATAGCTCCTAATAGCAGTGAACAATATCGACATGACACTCTAAAATGTCTCAATAGGGTTGTTTCTGATACTTCTCTTTCACTAGTTATTGGTGATTTTAACTCACCAGACATAAACTGGGCTACCCTTTCTGCTTCCTCTCCCTTCTCTCTTTCTCTATGTGATTTTATCTTTTCTCACAACCTCAATCAGCTAGTTTTACGCCCCACTCATGTTCGCGGTAATATACTAGACTTGGTACTGACCAATCAAAACAACCGCATTGATACTATTCAAGTCGATGACTCTGTTTGCTCTGCACATTCTGACCACTCACTTATTTTGTTCTCTATTGGTACTAACAGTAAACGTGTTATGAAGCCAAATAAACGTGTTATTTTTGACTACACAAAGGCAGATCTAGATAATCTACACTCTTACCTGTTGGGTCTACACCCTCCCCCTGCTTGTGATGTTAACTCTGTTTGGTACTTCTTGAAGGACTCGATCTTAATGGCTCGTTCACTTTTCATTCCCTCTGTCCATCGTACTCCTCGTACCGATCCTCCATGGTTCACTAAGGAGATTAGACATTCTCTAAAATGTCTCCGCTCACTACACAGGAGGTATCATCACCATCCTACCTCTCATCTATCCTCTCGCATCTCCTCCTTAGAGTCCTCGACGCTTACTCACATTTCGTCTGCCAATTAAGTCCGTATATGAGGAGGTACTATCAAACACATTTAGCTCTAATCCTAAGATGCTCTAT